CACCTCCGACACCACCCTGGACACCCACCCTTCCTGCTTCTCGGGCACCCCTACCCTCCCCATTCCCCCAGCGCCTCCCCAGGGCACCTCCCCAGGGCTCCTCCCCAGGGCACCTCCCCAGGGCACCTCCCCGGGGCTCCTCCCCGGGGCTCCTCCCCGGGGCTCCTCCCCGGGCTCCTCCCCGGGGCTCCTCCCCGGGCTCCTCCCCGGGCTCCTCCCCGGGGCTCCTCCCAGGGCTCCTCCCCGGGGCTCCTCCCCAGGGCTCCTCCCCGGGCACTCCCAGGGCTCCTCCCCGGGCACTCCCCCGCCGTCCTGACTCCCGCGGTGTCCCCCCCGGGTAACCCCCCCCCCCGCCCGCAGGCGGCCCTGATCACGCTGTGGAACGTGATGGTCGTGAACAACTGGCAGGTGTTCCTGGACGCCTTCCGACGCTACTCGGGCCCGTGAGCCACCCTCCCCGACGGGCGCCCCGTGCGGGCAGACGGCGGTGGGAATCTGGGGCTGTCCGCAGGGAGGGCACGGCGGGGTGGCGTTCTGGTCCCTGCCCCCCCGCGCGAGGACCCGGCCAGCCAGGGTTAGCTGGCCTGGTTCTCTGAGTCCAGCCTGCGTGCAGCCTGGGTGCCCTGCTCACAGGCGGGGGCCTCCCTGTCCTCCCAGGTGGTCCAAGGTCTATTTTGTATCGTGGTGGCTGGTGTCGTCTGTCGTCTGGGTCAACCTGTTTCTGGCTCTGATTCTGGAGGTACGGAAACCCCTGCACGGGCAGGCCGACGCCCCCTGTGTCTCCACCTCGCTGAGGCCACTCGGCCACCACCAGACCGGGTCTTTGGTGGAAGAGTCTGTGCTGGGTGTGCCCGGCCCGGATTCCGGGGACTCCTTCCCTGGGCTCAGGGCCCCTTGGCCGCTGCTGACAGTTGACCTGGGGGGTTCTCAGGCCCCCGGGCTGGGCTGCAGGGGGCCGTCAGGAGGGCAGTGGGGCATCTCACTCCGGCAGCCTCCCCGAGCCGGCGTCTGGGCTGTGGCTGCCTGCTCCCGTGTGGACTCTGGGCCGACACGGGGCGGGGGAGGGCAGGGCCTGTTCCCCACACTCACCGGCCGCCCCTCCCTGCCGCCGGCCAGAACTTCATCCACAAGTGGGACCGCCGCGACCACCCTCAGCACTCCCTTGGGGCCCCGGAGGCCTCCTACCACTCGCCTGTGGAGCTCATGTTCAGGTGTGTGGGCACGGTGGGCTGCAGGGTGGCGGGCGGGTGGCGTCCTCCGTGACCGGCGCCCTCCCATCAGCCCTGCCCACCCCCGCACCTTCCTGTGCTGCTGCTGCTTAGGGGTAGAAGCTCAGAGCGGGCGGGGGTCTGGACCCTGTCCCGCACCAGTGATGACTGGGTGGGTAGAGAGGAGGAAGCCAGGTTGAGCGTCTTTAAGGAAACATCCTCCAGGTTCCGTTTAGTTTCTGGATGGTTCTGTTGGTGGGTGAAAGCAGGGTGGTTCAGCCAGGGGGAAGCCCGCTTCTCGGTGGTAACTTGGAGGCTGTTTCCGTTTGAGTGCAGGAAAGTTGCAGGTCACCCCAGACGGCCTTGTGGCAGGCAGCCACTTGCCTCCCGGGAGGATTTGCTGTGATGGTGTGCCCGTCCTCTCTCCCGCTGACCCACGCGGCCATTTTTCCCAGGCTGTTGAGAGCACTGTTAATGTTGTTACTGGCCACGTCCATCCTGAGGATGGACCTGAGTGCCCTGTGGCCCCACACCCCGTCCCGTTCATTTCCGCACGTGTCTGACAGCTTCCAGGTCGGGCTTCTCTGCATGGAGTGCCTGTCAGACCTCCCAACGCGCACAGGTTCCCTCTCCTCGCTGCGTACAGCGCCTGTCAGGCTTCCCAATGCACATAGATCCCCTCTCCTCAGAGGCCTCTCCTGATCGGTCTTCTCCCCGGCTCGTCCTGCAGGGAGGTCCTGGAGGAGCCTGTGGAGGAGGACCTGCTAGAGAAGCTGCGGCGTCACCCACACCTGGAACTGTGCAGGTGACGTCCAGGTGCCTACTGGCCGGGCAGCAGGATGCAGACGCTGGGCTCAGGAAGACGCCAGTGTGGAACGAGGCAGCAGGCTGGGGCCGAGCCAGAGGGAGGAGACCATTCC